TCCGCTGGCAACGCGTTCCAGGCACCCACCACCCTCTGCGTAAAGAACTTTCCACGCATATCTCCCTTAAACTTTTCCCCTCTCACCTTGAAATTGTGACCCCTAGTAATTGAGTCCCCCACTCTGGGAAAAAGCTTCTTGCTATCCACCCTGTCTATACCTCTCATGATTTTGTAGACATCAATCAGGTCCCCCCTCAACCTCCGTCTTTCTAATGTAAATAATCCTAATCTACTCAACCTCTCTTCATAACTAGCGCCCCCCCATACCAGGCAACATCCTGGTGCACCTCTTCTGCACCCTCTCCAAGCACCCACATCCTTTTGGTAATGTGGCGACCAGAACTGTACGCAGTATTCCAAATGCGGTCCAACCAAAGTCCTATACAACTGTAACATGACCTGTCAACTCTTGTACTCAATGCCCCGGCCGATGAACGAAAGCATGTCGTATGCCTTCTTGACCACTCTATCGACCTGCATTGCCACCTTCAGGGTATAATGGACCTGAACACCCAGATGCAAATTGATGTTCTGTGGGTTTGGAAGATCAGCTCAGAGTGAAATAGATCACAAAGTAGAGGACATGGGGCAAATAATGACTTGGGCAGGATAATTCTGGATCACCTCAAGCAACAGAGGGTGGAACATAAGAGGCCAGCCAGGAGGTTATTGGAAGAGTCAAGTCTAGTGATAATTTTAGCAGGAAATATTTCAGTAGTCAGGAGAAGTGGTGACGAGGTAGAGCTAGGTTTTGTCAGTGTCCATGTTGAAACTCACTGTAAATGACAGACAGCACACAGTTGAGAAATTAGAAAGGACCAAGTGCAGAGTGAACAGAGCAGCCAGGGAAGAGAAGCATTTGCAAGCGATTCTCTGGCTTCAGTTAGATAGATATGAAAGGGACCACATGAGTATGGTCCCAGCTGGATGAAACCGGAGAGATAGTGGGGCAGAATAGTGAGATAAACTGTTTTAAATATGCTGCAGACAGGTCAAGAACAATGAGAAGGGATAAATTATCATTGTCACATTAACATAGGATTTCATTTATGACTGTGATAAGTGCTGCTTTGGTGTTGTGGCAGAGGTGGAAACCTATTTGGAGGGATTTAAACATGGAGTTTCTGTTTAACTGCAAGATATTATGGTTTAACTAAGATTGGATATCAGATAGAGATCTAATTTCTAATTAGTCCCACCATATCTGAGCTCTCATGCCTGATATGTCCAATCTTTCATATGCTTTTCCTCATAGATTGCTACTGCTCGTTAACCTTTAGCAAACAAAGTAATTGCCAATGCAAATTAAACCAGTAACTATTTGAAAGCATATTATTTCTAAATTGTTGATTATTTCTTAAGGATTTTGTTTCTTTAGATGAACAACGATACAAAGCAGTATAATATTCAACAATATTTTTGTTTTGTTTAGATTAATGATGGTTCCTTTTTGAATACAAGGTAAATTTACCAGGCAATGTGGTACAGGGTTCAATGTATAATCCGTACCAAGTCATACAGCATACAAACAGACCCTTCGGTCTAACCCGTCCATGCCGAACAAGTTTCCCAAACTAAACTAGTCCCACTTCCCTGCATTTGGCCAATATCCCTCTAAAACTTTCTTATTCATATACCCGTCCAAATATCTTTTAAGTGTTGTAACTGTACCTGCATCTACCACTTCTGGCAGTTCATTCCACATACGAACCACCCTCTGTGTGAAGAAGTTGCCCCTTAGGTCCTTTTTAAACCTCTCTCCTCTAACCTTAAAAATACATCCCCTAGTTTTGAACTCCCCTACCTTAGGGAACGGACCCTTGCTATTCATCTTATTTATGCCCCTCATGATTTTATAAACCTCTACAGGGTCACTACTCAACCTCCTACACTCCCGTGAAAAAACGTCCCAACCTATCTAGAATCTCCTTATAACTCAAACTTTCCATTCCTGGCAACATCCTGGTAAATCTTTTCTGAACCCTCTCCTTTGCAATAATATCCTTCCTATTCCTAGGGAGACTAGAACTGTACACAGTACTCCAAAAGTGGCCTCACCAGTGCTCTTAAAAATGGAAATACAACAACTGACTTGAGTGGCTCTAGGCTAAGAAGAGGGAAAGTTTGCTGAAGTGAACTGGATTAAAATTGCTCAAACCCAGGACCTCCATAACTGAAAGATGAAAATAAATCCACATTTATGGAGAATTCCTACCCGGTCTACAGAATTGAAAGAACAAGGTAGAAACTATTTGAGTCAACCATTCTATAACTAGTGGTATATGCCTATTAAATCGAACTGTTTGTCTCTAAATAGAGATCACAAGAACTAAAACAAGTAATTAAAAGTCGTTGATTACTGTAAATCTAAGATTAAAGTTGCTAATAGTTATTTCTGGTTCGGGCATGCCTTTCATCTTTAAGCTCAACTGTGAAATAGGCTGAATGATGTGGCATCCCCTTTTCCCTATGACTAGTTGTACAATACAAAGTTCATCTTCTAAAAAAGGGCCACTGGACCTCAAATGTTAACTCTGCCTTCTCTCCACAGATGCTGCCAGACCTGATGAGTTTCTCTGGAAATTTCAGTTTTTGCTTAGGAGGCCCATCTATACTGCGTCATTATATATACTCAGCAAAGTTAAATTCCTTCAATGCATTAGTAAGAAATTCAATTCACCCCTGTTGCCAGCACTTCGGTAAAAGCAAAATACTGCAGATGCTGTAGATTTGAAATACAAAGAAAATGCTGGAGAAACTCAATAGGTCTGACAGCATCTGCAGAGAAAGAAAAACAGAGTTAATGTTTTAAGTCCAATGCGACTCTGCTTCAGAATCCAGCACAGATGGAGTGGCCCAGGAATTCATTGTTTTTACAACCAATCGGCCTGACTGCTCTGTACCTGTGTTTATACAGCGCAGGAAGCCTGTCCTACCTTAAATCAGCTCACCGTAAAATATCAGTGTCATTCCCATCACCACATCCCGTCATTAACATCTTAGCTATTTCCATTGACCAGATATGTAACTGGACTAGCCATATAAGAAATAAAAACAGAAAAGGTTGGAAATACTCTGCAGGTCTGTCAGCATCCAAGCAAAGAGAAATAAATTGCTTCAGGTTGATGATTTTTTATTACCCTCACTCTAAAGTAGTTCAACTCACTCGGAAGGGTGAATCAATGGGCCAAAGAGTGGCAGATAGAGTTTAATTTAGATAAATGCCTTTTGGCAAGACAAATCAGGGCAGGACTAGTTAATAGTAGAACCCTGTGAAGTGTTGTCAAACAGAGAGACCTAGGGATGCTGGTACATAGTTTCTTGAAAGCTGCATCACAGGTGGACAGGGTGGTGAAGATGGTGTTTGTCATGCTTGCCTTCATTTTTCAGACCACTGAGTATAGTCATTGGGATATTATGTTGCAGTTGTACAGGATATTGGTTAGGCCACTTCTGGAGCACTGTGTACAGTTCTGATCGTTCTACTATAGGAAGCATATTATTAAATCGGAAAGAGTGCAGAAAAGATTTACAAGGATATTGCTGGGACTGGAGAGTTTGAGTTATAAGGAGAGACTGGATTGGCTGTGACTTTTTTCCCTGGAGCGTAGGAGGTTGAGGGGTGATCTTACAGAGGTTAATAAAATCATGAGGGGCATAGATAAGGTGAATAGCAAAGGTCTTTTCCCTAGGGTGGGGGAGTTCAAAACTAGAGGGCATATTTTTAAAGTGAGAGGGAGAAAGACTGAAAAGGAACCTGAGGGGCCACTTTTTCATACAGAGGGTGGTTCGTATTTGGAATGAACTGCCAGAAGTAGTGGTAGTTGCAAGTACAGTTACAAGATTTAAAAAGTCGTGGCAAAGTGAATGTGGAAAGTATGTTTCATCTTGTGGGTCAATCCAGAATTAGGGGGCTGGGATTTAAAATCAGGGGTCGTCCTTTCAGGACAGAGATGAGGGGAATTTTTTCTCTGAAGGTCGTACACCACTGGCACTTCCTGCCTCAGAAGGTGGAGGAGGAGAGATTGTTAAATATTTTTAAATTGGAGGTAGACGGATTTGTATTAGGCAAGGGAACCTGGGGTTATGGAATATGTGGTACTTGGAACACAAACTGATCAGACATATAGGAAGGATGTTGTGAAACTTGAAAGGGTTCAGAAAAGATTTACAAGGATGTTGCTGAGGTTGGAGGATTTGAGCTATAGGGAGAGGCTGAATAGACTGGGGCTATTTCCCCTGAAGTATCAGAGACTGAGAGGTGACCTTATAGAGGTTTATAAAATCATGAGGGACATGGATAGGGTGAATAGACAAGGTTTTTTCCCCGGGGTGGGGGAGTCCAAAACTAGAGAGCATAGGTTTAAGGTGAGAGGGGAAAAATTTAAAATGGACCCAAGGGGTAACATTTTCACACAGAGGGTGGTACATGTATGGAATGAGCTGTCGTGGGAAGTGATGGAGGCTGGTACAATTACATGATTTATAAGGCATCTGGATGGGTACATGAATAGGAAGGATTTGGAGGGATATGGGCCATTTGCTGGCAAATGGGACTAGATCTATTTAGGGTGTCTGGTCAGCATGGACAAGTTGGACCAAGGGTCTGTTTCCATGCTATTACTCTATGATCTTATTGAATGACAGAGCAGGATCCAGGGGCTAAATGAAGAACTTCTGCCCCAGTTTTGTATTTTCGGATGTAATTAGTGAGGGACAATAAATGCCCATTAATGAATAAGACGTGAATCACCGGCAAAGGTAATTGGGGACTGGCAATAAATTTAGGCCTTGCCCTCTGCCCTCAGATCTCAGGAAAGAAAAAAAAAAGAATTACCCCTTAATCTTACGGGATGGATGTGCAGAACATTTTGTTTTCACGCACTGAGCCCTGCTCAAAAGCAGCCTGGTTGTGAGATATGACACGCCGGGGTGGATTCCTTTTCTTTGGGCACTTGTGTTTTTGCAGCGTTCCCTTTAAGAGGCATCGCGATGACTGATGTAACTTAACACGGGCTTCTGTGTAAGCTGAGGCTAAACAAACACAGATGGATTGCCGAATGCGTTCGTGAAAAAAAATGTTGGCAGGGCAGAGGAAGGGGACTTGAGATGACATTCTCGCATCACTAGAGGCATTGCTACAGAGCTGTTGCTATAGCTGCCGAGAGGGAGGGTTAACACACACACACACACAGACAGGAGTAAGGGGCTGAACACCTCCCGGCAGATCATTCAATTATAAGAAAATCTCAGATGTCTTGGTGATAATGAGGACCTCGGAGAGCCTGAATGAAGCAGAGTGGAAGAGACTGTGCACGATAAAGCGGCTGAAACGGAAGAACCGGGATGTTAGCAGGCAAGGGGGGATCCTGGAGAAAGTTTACGGAGGTGAGGAGGGAAGACTCGGGGATGCTTTGATCGCCCGCCTGAGCGACAGCACCGACACTTTGCAAGCAGCGGCCGTCAGCTCCGCGGGTGCTGAGTTACTGGGGCTGAGCCGGATTGTGAGCCCAGCCTGTGTGCCCGCTACTACCGCCGCTGTCGGCGTAGGACGGCGGCACGACGAGGAGCTCAGCCCAAAGTCCGCCGCTCCGGCACGGAGGAAATTCCCTCGCCCTCCCACGTCCCAAGCGGGCGCCACCGAGCCCCGGGCGTTCACCGGGCAGCCGAGCCTGCAACCCCGCGTCCTGCTGTGCCAGCGCCCCGCCGACGGCTGCTACTCGAGCCTCCCGCCCGCAGCTTACAGCCCGTCGCCTCGGAAGCGGCTGGGAGAGCCGTCCGGCGCCTCCACCGAGATCAAAGCCATCCAACAGACCCGCAGGCTGCTGGCCAACGCCAGGGAGAGGACCAGGGTCCACACTATCAGCGCTGCCTTCGAAGCTCTGAGGAAACAGGTAAATTGAGAACGTGGGCATGTCACATCAGCAATAGAACAACAGTGTCTTTTATCTATATTTAATGAGCTAGCCTCTGCAAGAGAGATTGAAGGAAACGCAAATTGTCAAAGGCTATCGTCGTATTTCAGCTGATAAGCCTAACTATAAATAAAAGGTGTTAATAGTTCATCTCAGTGTAAATATTGATGACAATGTGTGCTGTTTAAATTCAGCCTCCAACTACCTTCTGGAATTAAAAGTAATAACCGGAGACAAACATTTTCAGAAACAGTCTTGAGTGTAAATGGATGTGCACAAGGGCAACTGACAATAACGACATTGTTTTACTGTAATTCATTCAGAATTGGACAGAAAGAAAACGTTACTTCCACAAACGCTTCAGACAGATACAAGAAGTTACTCGGCAAGTTTGGCAGCATCTGTGGAGAGAGAAATTAGAGTTGACATCGCGAGTCAACTCAGTTGAAGAAGAGTCATATCGGGCTGTCTTGCTCTCTCTCCCCACACAGATATTGCCTGACCTGCTGAGCTTCTCCAGCATTTTCTGTGTTTGTTTCTAATTTCCAACATTCTCACAAGAAGTTACTTAATCCGAAACAAAGGTTATCTGGGGGTAGGCGGGAATGTGGAATTAGAGCCGCAATCGGATTGGCCCTGATTTTATTGAATGGTGAGGCAGATGCGAGGGGCCGAATGGTCTATCCTTGCTGCTAATTCGCTGTAGATCCCACTGTGGACCCCAAACTCGTCAGAAGGCAGCATTGCACCTTTCAAACCGAGTCTGTTATTGCTTGTTAAAACTCAGAGTTTATAGTGGCATGTTACAGACTCTGAATCCAGTGAGTTCGTCCAGTCTCTATCCAACAGTTTGTGGGACACAGTTAAGAAATGCTGCTACCGGGGTGGGTGGGACAGGGAATGTATTGAAACGTGATTAAGTGGCAACTGTTTTTTTTTGAAAAGATCACTTTAATATGTTGTGCTCCAGCTGGCCTCTGAGTTACATAATGTAGCATAAGAAAGGCCGAGTTTGTGCGAGTGTTTACAAATACTGCTCTGTGCATGAGAGGTCACCCAACCGATGACTGAAAGATTGCACAAACCGAGTTCAGCCCGAAGTGCAACATTGCTGATTGGGGGAATTGGACGGGAGCCCGGGCACGTGTTGTGTGTTGTTTCACTGAAACCATTAAACGACAGAACTTGGTCGAACCTTATCACAATTTATCAATATGCAACCTCTAGGTCAACACAGCGTGATCCACTTCACTTTATAAAGCCACCTCAGCAATGTGCAGATTCATTTATTTCGCTTCATGGAATCTACCCAGTGTTAATGCCAAGGTTTTATTTGCAATATACAGAACCTAGCAATTTCAGGTAGCATTTATCTGTGCTTATGAATTACTACACCTGATTATTTCCCTTCATGTGTAGGTTGTGTGTGTTATATGTTTTGAGTATGTACATGCCGTGCCAGGCTGACATGTTGCATTTTCCTCCCCTCGCCCCTTCAATGACTTCGGGCGCCTCTCTGCAGGTTCCTTGCTATTCATATGGACAGAAACTGTCGAAGTTGGCGATCCTGAGGATAGCGTGTAATTACATCCTGTCCTTGGCCAGGCTGAATGACCTCGATTACAGCTCCGATCACAGCAACATGAGCTTTTCCGAGTGTGTGGAGCAATGCACCAAGACGTTGCAGGCAGAGGGCAGATCAAAAAAGAGGAAGGTGAGCTTCCAGTACAGTTCCAAATAAAAAAAAGCACACGCAGCCCCCTTCCCACTGCTCCCCCAGCCACCCCCGCCATCTGTCACACACATCCAAACCGCCGGAATGAGATGAGGTTTTTTTTTTCTAGCCTCTCTGACAGCCTTTCCTCACCGCACTAACTCCTTCCTTCGCCTCCTGAATGTCTTGTGGTCTCCCTACTGATCTGTACTTTTCGACAGGAACTGCGCTGGCCTTTTGCAGAGACTCTCGAGAAGTGAAACATTTCAGAACAGTGCGGTCATGTGTTAAGATTTGAAATGAGACCGGGGAGGGGGGGTGCGGAATGGAGAGGTCTAGAGGTTGAGACAAGGTTACCGACCCTCTGGGTACAATACATGTTTGCTTACAAAATCGATCAACCTCACAATTTGCAAAACGTCAAATGGAGATTTATCTCTCCATTTCTTAAAAAAAAGATAAAATGCAACATTGGTAGTATTATTGTCTGGATTTAGGACGATCTCTTAGTAGTAAATCTTCATTAAAAAAAACTCGTGAAACAATTAAAGTGATGGCAGATTTTCATTCCCACTTTATGACAATGGGAGTTTTTAAACTCCATCTGAACTTCCCTCTGCATTCTTGTACTTTCCAACCGCGATAGTGTCTAATAAATCACACGCTGATCTTGCCACCGTGTTGTTTGTGGAGTGAATGAATGGAGAAGATCGTTTTTTTTTTCGGGACTGTTTGGTGTTTGCGCAGCTCCAGACTCCAGATGTTCAGCTGCTGGTGTGGGAAGCGGAGCTGGCGCCACTCAGGGCAGAGGGCAGAACAAAGGCACGCGATTTGGGGAAGAAACACTCAGTCACACGAAGCTTTTGGCACATTCCCCAGCACTCGGCTGGACATCTGTTCCAGAAAACTTTTTTTAATAGCTGCTTTCTGAGCAGCTCCTGAGGATACACTGACTGCAGCTGTTTCATGTGGAGAGGGAGCGAGAGAGAGAGAGAGAGACGGAAGCTCATATGAATGCTATGAATAATATTTTTACAATTCTAAATACAGGAAAATCGCTATTGCTTTCGTATTTTTTTGTTGAAATTTAAACTGCTTTGTGTTAAATGTTCGATTTACTAGAATGTCACCACTACCCCCACCCCACACACACGCAAGAAATTGGCCAAATTTGAATGTCTAATATAAGATTATGCTGCTCAGTTTGATTTCAAACAATGCTGTTCTTATTCAGAGTTTTGTTTGAATATAGCTTTTTACTTTTTAAATGGAAGAATCAAACAGATGCAACACATTATGCTACAACATTTTGAAGGTACACAGTGTCTTCACATTGTTAACATTGTGGTTGTACTCTTACCTCAACTAACTCATAGCAGAACTGGCTCCCAGTGGGCTGTATTACTTTTTAACTGTTTGTTATGGTGAGAGAGCTCTGCGCATACCTGTCCACATGAATCTCACCACAGAGTGGTAACTGGCCTGATAACATGGCCAAGATTGTCCACGTGCTCACAACATGAAGCACCTTTGAAGTAGTCAGACATGCTAAGCCATTCCATACAGTCATTACTGAACACATATGACTAGATGAGTGCCCAGATCAAAACCTCACAGCTCACAGTCTTCTGACAGCAATTTCTGGCATACACACATGCATAGCTAAGCTTGGCAATCGAAGCTCCCTTCACGGTTACAATACCTCTTCACAGGGTGTTCTGTAACAAAGCTCACTGATATGCTTGGCAGTGAAATCATTCTAATAGCACAAAGTTGGGATACTTAGCCACTTGTTTCCCACCAAAGGCATCAACAAAAGTTAAGGCTGGTACATTCAAAAGAATGTGAATACATAGCAACAGGAAAAGTGATAATTAATGATAAACAGTAACGCACTGTGGCCCTGAGAAGTTAATTTTACAAGTGTAGAATCTCATTTCTTAATTAAATAGGGGTGGAGACTAAAAACGCCTTTTCCTGTGTGCCTGTTCTAGCTTTTTTTTCTTAACCCCATCGTCATGGTTTATAAATCCTGCTTTAGAGTCTGCAGGGTGTATTTCCCCAACTCTGTGGAGACACAACTGGAAGGTGGGGCGTCTGGAGAAAATAGGGGACGGTCACATTGAGCAGTTTCCCAATATATTCCCAGCACCATAGTACATTTCCAGGGGTGGTAACCTATTAAGGTAATTAACGTTCCAATGATCTTTTGCAATGCCAGTACTTTGCTGGCATTAGAACTGTCTCATGCCACATCCAGAAGATACTACTCATTGCAGGCCGTCTCTGTATGATACACTGGGGATTCATTAGAGTCAGGGCTATGTGCACAATAATGGGTGAGGAGTTTGACAGGCTTTACACATGGCCCAAACAATAAGGCAGAAGCACAAAAACAGAAATTGCTGGAAAAGCTCAGCAGGTGTGGCAGCATCTGTGAAATCAGAGTTAATGTTTCGGGTCCAACGACTCTTCCTCAGAACTGCACAGAAATGTTACAGTGCAGAAGGAAGGCATTCAGCCCATGCTCTCCAACAAGTATAATGACTTAGTGCCATTCTATTGCCTCCTCCTCATACCCTTGCACATTGTTCTTATTCTTATCTTGTTCTGAGGAAGGGTCACCAGCCCCGAAACGTTAACTCTGTTTTCTCCTTCACAGATGCTGCCAGACCTGCTGAGCTTTTCCAGCAACTTTGTTTTTGTTCTTATTCAAATAATCATCTAAAGCCTTCTTGAAAACCTCAATTGTGCTTCCAGCACACTTCCAGATAGGGCATTCCAGAACCTAACCACTTGTTGTATGAAAACTTTACTTCTCGCATCACATTTGCTGCATTCATGGATTATTTTAAACCTGTGCCCTTTCATTCTCAATCTTTTGAGCAGGAAAAGTTTCTCCCTATCTACTCAATGCAGAGCTCTTGTCATTTTGAAAATTTCTATCAGATCTCCCCTTAACTTTCTTCTCTCCGAGGGCAACTTCTCCAATCTATCCTCATAACTGAAGTTTCTCATCTCTAGTACCATTTTGTAAATATCTTCTAAATGCTGTCAAATTTGTTTACACTTACAGGTGTAGCACCCAGAACTGACCACAATACTGCAGCTGAGGTCTAGCAATTATCTTGTATAAGTTCAGCATAATCTCCTTGATCTTGTACTCCATGTTACTGTTAATAAAACTTAGAATATGCTATGTTTTATTAACTGCCCTCGCCATCCCATCTGTCACCTTCAGGGATCAATATATACACAAAATTATTTAAATAGCGAAATGCTGCAGAAATCTACAGAAAGAAGGAATTTGGGAATCTTCAATCATGAATCACGAAAAGCTAGCATCCAAATTCATTGGTAGTAAGGAAGGAAAATAGAATGTTGACCTTTATTTCGAAGGAAATGAACTATAAAAGTAAGGGGGTCTTGCTAAACCTATACAAGTCCCTGGTCAGACCACAGCTGGGATGCTATGAACAGTTTGGCCCCCTTATCTAAATAAAGATATACTGGCATTGGAGGCAGTCCAGAGAAGGTCCAGTAGACTGTTAACAGGTATAAAGGGACTGTCTTATGAGGAGAGTTTGAGTAGTTTAGGCCTGAATTTATTGGCGTTTAGAAGAATGAGAGGTGACCTTATTAAACAATTGGTTTTTTAGGGGACTTGTCAGGGTAGATGCAGAAGGCTTGTTTCCCCTTGTGGGAGAGATTAGGACTAAAGGGAATAATCTTAGAATAAGGGGGTCGCACATTTAAGACAGAGATAAGAGGAACTTCTTCCCTCAGATGGTAATGAATCTATGAAATTCTTTATCACAGAGAACTGTCAGTGCTGGATCATTGAGTATATTCAAACTGGTATCGACAGATTTTTACTCAGTAAGAGAAACAAGGATGATGGGGAAAAGGCAAGAAAGTGTAGTCAAGGATTATCACATCAGCCATGATCTAACTGAATAGTGGAACAGACTTGAAACACTGAATGGCCTAGTTCTGCTTCTGTGTCTTATGGTCCTTCTGTTCCTGCACATCCTTAAATGTGACATGCTCAATTTTCTCAGCATTTCAATGTTCTCCTAAAATGCATCACCTTGCACTTCTCCACATTGAACTTGATCTGCCATCTATCTACCCACTCCATCAACTTATATATGTACTTTATGAATCTACACTGTCCTCCTCACTGCTTACAATGCTTCTACATTTCCATTAATTACACACTTGGAAATTGTCCCCTGCACACCAAGATCTAGATCATCAGGCAAAACAAGGATCCCAATACCAACTCCTGGGAAACCCCACTACAAACCTTACACCAGTCTAAAAAATATCCATGGCTTGCTGTTCCCTATTGCTCAGCCAGTTCTGTACTAACATTACTAAGGCCAATCTCCTGCCTTTTTCCCATCTGGTCTCAATAATGAGTTCCCAAAAGTAAAATCCAACTCTGCATGTCTCAGGGAGGAAACTTTAGTCTGAGCAGCTGAGAAACATCTCTGCTGGTGCCATGCTGACTGATGCCACAAATCTCCTGCACATGGCCCTACAGGACGTGAATGGTGAACTCACTCTTAGGGCTGAACTGAAAGGGTATGGGAGAAAGCGGGAACTGGGTACTGAAGTGGAGGATCAACCAAGATCATACTGAATAGCAGAGCAATTGGAGGACTGAATGGGCAAAACTTTAACCATTACGATTGGCAACCAAATGCTGGACCAAAGAAACAAATTTTAAGGAGGTCAAGCGGCTTACTGAGCAATTCTGCAGCTGAAAAAGTGACTGCCATTAAAGTTTTGGAGTAGATCTGTAGCTCATGTTGTGGGTGTTGTGGTTGGTTGGCTCGCCGAGCTGGTTTCTTGTTTCGCAGACGTTTCGTTACCCTGCTGGGTAACATCATCAGTGCAGCCTCTGATGAAGCGTTAGTGTGTTTTCCTGCCTGGTTTTTTAACTCTGGAGTCCGTTGAGATGGATTGCCTCACTTCTGGGTTTCCTTCATAGTGGAATGTATATGGGGTCGAGTTCAATGTGTTTATTAATAGCTTGCTTCGTGGAGTGCCAGGCTTCTAGGAATTCTCATGCCTGTCTCTGCCTAGCCTGTCCCAGGATCTCGGTGTTGTCCCACTCGAAATGGTGGTTCTCCTTGTCTATATGGATTGAGATGAGTGAGTATTGGTCGTGTCTTTTTGTAGCCAGTTGGTGTTCGCGTACCCTTGTTGTTAGTTTCTTTCCTGTTTGTCCGATGTAGTGTTTCTCGCAGTCTCTGCAGGGGATCGTGTAGATGACATTGATCCTGTCCATGGCGGGGAGTGGGTCTTTAGTTCAGTTGAGCACTTGTCGTAGGGTTGATGTGGGCTTGTGTGCCACTCTGATGCCCAGCGGTCGTAGGAGTCTTGTGGTTAGTTCCGATGCGTTCCTGATGTAGGGTAGTGTGATGAGTGTGTCGGGGCGTGTAGTATCTTCCTGATGTTGTTCGTGTAGGCATCTCCTGACCCAATTTTTTGGATATCCGTTACCCTTGAACACTTGGAAGAGGTATTCTTCTTCCTCTTGGCGTAGTTCCATGTTGCTGCAGTGCGTTGTTGCCTGTTTAAATAGTGTTCGCACGCAGCTTCGTTTGTGTCTGCTGGGATGGTTACTATTGAAGTTCAACACTTGGTCTGTGTGTGTGGCTTTTCTGTGTACTAGCAAGGACGGCCCTTCCGCAGATCCAACCAAAACTATGGATACGCTATGTGGATGACACCTTTATCATCATTAAACGGACCAAACTAGAGGAGACACACAAACTTATAAACAACACCCTCACTGGAATAAAATTCACCAGAAAGGAGGAGAAGAACAAACAGCTCCCATTCCTGGACATCATGGTAGAGTGCAAGACAAATGGGGTACTCCAAACGAAAGTACACAGAAAAGCCACACACACGGACCAGGTACTGAACTTCAACAGTAACCACCCTGGCACACACAAATGAAGCTGCGTGTAAACACTATTTAAAAGGGCAACAACACACTGCAGCAACATGGAACTACCCCAAGAAGAAGAATATCTCTTCCAGGTTTTCAAGGGTAACGGATATCCAAAAAACTGGGTCAGAAGATGCCTATGTGAACAACATCAGGAAGATACTACACGCCCCGACACACTCATCACACTACCCTACATCAGGAACACATCAGAACTAACCACAAGACTCCTACAACCGCTGGGCATCAGAGTGGCACACAAGCCCATGAACACCAACTGGCTACAAAAAGACACGACCAATACTCACTCATCGCAATCCACATGGACAAGAAGAACCACCATTTCGACTGGGACAACACCAAGATCCTGGGACAGGCTAGGCAGAGACAGGCACGAGAATTCCTAGAAGCCTGGCACTCCATGAAGCATGCTCTTAATAAACACATTGAACTCGACCCCATCTACACTCCACTACGAAGGAAACCCGTAAATGAGGCAATCCAGCTCGACGGACTCCAGAGTTTAAAAACCAGGCGGGAAAACACACCGATGCTTCATCGGAGGCTGCACTGAGGATGTTACCCAGCATGGTAATGAAACGTCTGCGAAACAAGAAACCAGCTCAGCGAGCCAACCAACCTCAACAGTGGCTGCCATTTTTAGAGTAAATCTATCAGAGATGTACATGATGCCAGATTTCGAATAGTAAAGAGAATTATTTGCTTAGTTTTATAAAACGTGTAAGTTATTAAACGGATTTAATGTAAGGGGCAGGAGGTTTAGACGAGATGTGAGGAAAATCTTTTTCATCCAGAAGGTGGTGAGAATCTGGAACTATCTGCCTGTAACGGTGTTAGGGACAGAAACCCTCATAACATATAAGACTTATTTAGATGTGTATTTGCAATGCTCAGGTATATGAGGCTTTGGGGCAAAGTGCTGGGAAGTGATACTAGAATAGTTAAGTGGTTGTTTTTGGCAGGCACAGATGTGATGGGCCAAAGGGCTTTTTACTGTGCTGTAGACTTTCTATGATCCTCTGATCCCTTTGGACCCATCTTGAGCCTGATTCTTCTGTCAGACTCAATGCAATGTCAAAGCTTACAGAATACGGCAGCAGAGTAGCGCTCCTAAGCCAGAGCTCATTCGCTCCATCAATCTCTTTTCTTCTTATACCCCTTTCTATGTTTTTTTGCTTCTTCTTTCTTTATTTTTTTCTCTCTACTGAACTCCATTCATCAGATGACATTGGTGGTAGAGAGTTGAGCCACGAGGACTCTAGTGACCCCAAGCCTTGAGAAGCCCAGCACGGACTCCCAGCCTCGAGGTGAAGCCCAGCACAGACTCTCAGCCTCGAGGTGAAGCCCAGCATGGACTCTCAGCCTCGAGGTGAAACCCAGCACCGACTCTCAGCCTCGAGGTGAAGCCCCGTATGGACTGTCAGCCTTGAGGTGAAGCCCAGCACAGACTGTCAGTCTCGAGGTGAAGCCCAGCACAGACTCACAGCCTCGAGGTGAAACCCAGCACAAACTCCCTGTTTTAGAACTTCAGGACTGTAATGCTGAACTTCTACTTTTATTTCTTTATTTTTCTAATTTATACCTAAGATTTTGTACATTGTACCCAAGATGGCGCCAGAAATGGCGACTTTGTAACACTTCTTGTTGTATTCCTGTATCCCTGTACTTTAGTACATGTGACAATAAAACCTAATTCTATTCTATTTCTGTTAAATGGAGGCAACGTGTTATAGAACATATGGCTTCACTTTGTAACTGTTTCGGAGCAGCAGTATACTTCTGTCAAAGTATTGCCAAATATCTTTAGAGCAGAAAATCTTTGCACACAGACAAAGGTCATTTGGCCCATCATACATGTATTGGCTCTTTGAAAGAAATATCCAGTTTTCCCTTGTTGCATTGTCCTAAACAGTATAATCCAATTATTTATTGACTGTTTCTCATTGTCTAACATTTCCATTTTGAAAGAGCTACTGCAATTGGAATAAGTATATCGTTCAACCAATTCCAACAACTTGTTTTCTTCCCGTTGAACTCATGCCTCATTTATGTAGGTTAATGGAATTGACCATGTAGGTGTCTTTGATGTTCCAGAATCCCACTTCCCATCCTTTCCTGAGAACTAAAGCCTTTTGCCAGTAAGTGCAATTTATTTATGTTTATAGAAAATGTGCTAGTCGGCCACTTTCTAACTCGGAATTTTGTTAAATTGTCAGAATGATGTGGGCAAGCCAAAAATTGACCATGAAATCCAATGGGAAATTTTGTGTTAGGCTCATTCATTGGCAAAATATGGCAGAAGCTAGCCTGATATGGGATCTCTCCAATAACAGTGTCACAATGGCCAGAAGCTGCAGTGTAGGTGTTTGATATGTGGTTTACACATTATTACCATTGCATTAGTTATTTCCTGTGTCATGTTTTTAAAAATAGATGTGATCTGTGTTGGAGAAGCACTATCTCATGTTTCATGCACCTTCTATTCTCTCCTGTTCAGGTGAGAGTAAATTTAACTGTTAGACCTCCCCGATTTCAGCAGCCTTGCAGATTGCTTTTTAAAATCTATAGCTTTCTCCCACACAGTAAATGGATTATTTAGGGCGCAATATGAGAAACAAATGTGAAAATGACAGTCTGTTGAGGAGATAGAGGATGATAATTGAGAGCTCTGAGTGACTGGGTATAGGATGGCAATGAGGTACGCAGTGGAGATGTTGGGATAGATTTCCACCCAGACACTAAGCATCCCTTGAGAGAAAAATTGTCTGGAAGGATCAAGAGTGTCTCTTTAAGAATCTGCTAGATCTTCAATTAAGTAGAAGGAAAATCCATCAGTTACTGTTACCAATTTGCAATCCTTCCACAAGACTTTCCTGTCTGGACTCTGCCCAGGCAATGCTTATTGCCCTGGCATCAAAGATTTTTTAAAAATCTGTTCCATTGGCTCACACACAAATGATGTGTGATGCATTGCCATGCAATCTATTTTGCCCAACTGTGTACTATCACAAGATTTTCCAAACATTTCCATGAACACAGTGCCACGTGAATGCTTTTAAGGCTAGTACGTTTTCAATCATCAGCTCTATGAAAAAGAAAGAAGCTTTATTTATGTAGCTTCTTAGTATCTAAATTTTTTTTGCATATTAAGTTAATTATTGAAGCTCAGTGATTGCTGCCAGTTAGACAACAATGGCAATGATTCTGCTCCAGCAACACTTGCCAAACTGGAGATTAATGCAAGGTTAACACAAGAGCACCCTCACCCTGTTGCAATAGTTCAAGAATATAGCTTACCATAATCATCCCAAGAGCAGCTCGTTAGGAGTAAAGTGTTCTGGCTTTTCTGGCAATATCCCTAACCTGAATATGAACTCTTCGAAGTGTTTTCATTTCAGGAGGAGTGTTGACCAAGACATCGGAAGAACTCTCTGCTCTTAACATCAACCTGGATGGTCAGATAGGGCTTCACCTTAATGCCTCATCTGAAGGAGAAAATACATATGTTCAGTACTTCTTCCCCTCATCTAATTTTGTTTAAAATGCTAAACGTTTTTACTACTGCTGTCTTCTTCCTTCCAAGAAAGAAGTGCATGCAACCAGAATTTGTTCACTTTAGCTTTCCTTCTCTTTTCCCCGAATTAATCATGAGCTTTATAGTTACAAAATAAATAGTTTGAACGGGGTATGTTATAGAGTGCTGAATGACAAATGCCCTAGTTAAGGAAGAATTACATGTTTAGTCTAGAACAAATTACCTGATCACTCACTAAGCAAAAATACAACTGCTTAGTGATTAACAGTGGAACTGGTCTAATTATTGATGATTTGGAAATGTGATTTACATCAATTCAGCATTTAGAAGCAAATATTTCACCAGGAATGCATTGAAAATATTTTTCTTTACGTTCTAATCACAGGCCTGTGTGTCAAGATGACTGATTTTAGTCAGGGCAACTTTTGGGGTGTACCATTTGACCCAAGAGAGGAAAAGATCAGTTAGAATTTGTATTCTTGTTATTAAACAATCTTTCCTGGAAATGTGTGTTTATGTGAATGTCAGATGAGGACAAGATTAGACTTGGCTGTGATACCATCCATGGTTGTCAATGCAGTCTGTGTTCATAAATGAAGAATGACCACTTAGGCAATGGACTAGAGGATTAGCAGAGCTTGTGGGACTATACTTGCAGGAGGGGAGAAGGATAAAATAGGCTGGAAAGTAGTTCACTTTCTTTGACCTAAGTTTAACATTGGAATTTGATTATATTGTGTTGCGTGTATCTCCTTCTTGATTGCCTCACAGAAGTTTTGGCCCTCACTGAAACAACATTCCATTGTTTGCAACATTCTGGAATCAATCCATAGATAGCTGTGATAATTTTTCTTTTTAATAAAATCTGTTTCTTTTTGATATCCCACAAAGGTAAGCTTTGGTTGAACGGCTAGCAATCTCATTGCTGAGTCAAAGTGTCACAATTTCATGTATTACAAGACTTGAGCGTGTAACTTAATGTTGAGGCAGCACTGCTTTTTCGAAATGCTAAGTCGAAACCCTGTCTGTCTGTTCCTGTGGTTCAGGCAGACATTCACAATCCTATTGCATTACTGAATTGAGCAAAGGATTGTCTGGTGTCCTGGCCCAATACCATCAAAACCAATTAACTGATTATTTGTCTTGGACACACCCACTTACACTGAAAAAACAATTAATTATATATAAGGTGCTTTTGAATATGTCAAATCATTGCGATTAAGTATGATGAACGTCCAAACTTTCCTTGCTTTTGTTTATTGCTCATCATTATCTTTCTCTGCATTCACGTCACATACATATTTTCTTCCTACTTGTAATGTGTTAGTATTTGCAGAGATATGAACCAACAAATCTGCTAATTTCACAGCATAGGGATCTTACGCATCCGGTGTTGTTCTCCTCAATTGCGTTGTCTCATGCTGGAAGTATTAAGGGATGAAGGGATGCAGACAACCTGCTGTCAGGTCTCAGTCAATGTCTGTCTTGATTTGAATGTGAAAACAGAGTTGCAGCAAGCGACTCAAGGTTAACATGGTTATTACCCTTGGCAGCATTTTGCCTTCCCGGTGCCTAATCACAAAGAACAGAAGACATGGGGCCCAAGGTTCAAACCTACACTGGAGCTGCACTTTGTGGAGCTCTATTTATGGGCATTCTTCAAACTCTAATATTGTTCCATATCTTAAAATTATTCATTTGAGCTATTTATTTAAGAAAATCAGAAAATAAGTAAGTGGTCTGTGAAGCACCCTGAATAGCATGTTGAAGGTTTTCACTCACCAGTGTTAAAATTGAACTTAGTCTATTAAAACCTGAACTCATTTCAGATGTCTGAGTTCATTATTTAGAATTAAATACTCGTGCATTTATTGCCTGAGTGAAATGGAGTGAAACTATGCATTTTTATGGGCCTTACATTCAGTTAGCCTGACTTTGCCTTTAAGTGTGCCCCTAATACGAAACACATTTGACTGCCAACAGCTGCTAGTAAACTCAGTACTCTATGGGTTAATTAATCTCATCCTATTCTGCATGGTCTACGACTAATTCCGATCATAAATTACACTGTGCCGTTTCAGGAATGATCCGGGGAAGGAGCGACATATCACAGGAACATCACACAGTGAACTGGTGTCTAGCCAACACTGACAGGGGAAGCAGACGCATAAGACATTGAAGACCAGATATAGGATTGCAGGAGACGTTCCACGGAAGAGAGGCTAATGCAAAAGAAATGATGTTGCCGATTTGGGGAAATCAAAATGAAGCCACTTTTATTGTGAATACACTATCAACCTTTAAGAACAGTCAAATCTCTAGATGTGCAATCTGCTCAGCATTTTCTCTTTTTGCTTTGAAGAAGGAAGATGTTGTTTTGAGCCGCCACTGACAGCACAGAGAACAAGATAAAGAGGAATCATGCAATTTGAACATTGATAGTTTTGTTTTGAAAGTTAGGAGAGTTAAAAATCAAGCCTCTGGGACAGATTTAGCTATGAACACATGTTAGCCCACTGGGTACAATGTAATGCATTTTGTTTTTGTGACTGGTTAACAAGGATTTATGATGCTGTAGAGGAGTTTGTAACAATCATCTGCGTGCCAGGATTAATTGCATATTTTTGATACTGTAAATCTGAATACTTTGCTGTAAAAAGAGTTGGCTTAATTTGATGAATCAAGCTAAAAACTAGTGCTAGTTATTTCAAAAACTCCAGTATTTTCAGTCAGTTGGTTGTAATGCCGATGACCCTACATGTGATCTCGTGTATTTTCAGCTGTTTTCTGATTGTGTACTAGCAAGAATTCCCCTGATGATAGCAATTTACAGCGGGGTGTCCTTAGAAACAAGTGGTCAGACAATCAGAAAGCGCACTGATATGACATGCACTTTATGATCTATGTAATCACACTGTTCCTTGTATTATTGTCAGGTCATATTAATCACTAGCATTAATGTACAAATGTTTGTAAAGGTACTTGAGACTTTGGATGGTTTTTGGAAGTCAGTTATTGTGTTGTGAGGAAGTCAGGGTGCAAATAGTTCCAAATATGTTTCTTTGAATTTCTTTTCAGAAGCATTGGCTGTATAGATGAGAGTGTTCCCTAGGCTCAGTCATCTCAGACAAGGATGCATTTGGTCTATGTTTGTTTGAGGTGCATTGTCTAGAGTGCCCATTTCTAATTGACATCCATAGCCTAATCCATCCTTGTTGGAAGTACACATGTATGGAAATCACATGAGGTGGAGGATTGGGTTTGGTTCTGATGCCAATGGTTAAATGAGCTATCATGAATGGTGAACACTTGGACTCGTGGTCACCTAGCCAAGGCACTAAATGGGACCTGGCAACTGTAAAACCAGTCAGCACCATCATAGAGAAAGATATGAGTAGATCACTGATCAAGGGGAGTGTCAGGGGTTAAGACCATAAGACATAGGAGCAGAAAAATTAGGCCATTCGATCCATCAAGTCTGCTCCGTCATTTGATCATGGCTATATGTCTCTCAAGCTCAGTCTCCTGCCTTCTCCCCGTAGCCCTTGATCTCCTAACTAATCAAGAACCTATCTATAGCTGTCCTAAGTACACTCAATGACTTGGCCTCCGCAGCCTTCTACATCAATGAGTTCCACAGACTCACCACCGTCTGGCTGAAGAAATTCCCTCTCATCTCTGTTCTAAAGGGTCATCCCTTCACTCTGAGGGTGTATCCTCAGGTCCTAGTGTCTCCTTCTAGTGGAAATATCTTCTCCACTCCATCAAGCGCTTTCAGTGTTTTGTAAGTGTCAGTGAGATGCTCCCTCATCCTTATGAGTTCCATCGAGTACAGCCCAAGAGTCTTCAACTGCTCCTCATATGACAAGCCCTTCATTGCCAAGATCATTCTTGTAAAACTTCTCTGACCACTTCCAATGTCAGCATATACTTAGATACGGAGTCCAAAGCTTAGGAAATGCCATTTGGCTGGTTAATGCTTATCATTCAAACATGCATCAGCTTAACAGAAAAGAATATTACTTTAGGTTGAGGTTTACCTTAAGTGCCATCCAGGATAGCGGAACTGGTTAAAACCAAAATGCCCCAAATCGTCAAAGCTACCAAAGGTTAATTTGTTTTGTTTTCTACTCATTTGTGGGATATGAGTGTCGCTGCCTGGCCAGCATTTCTTGCCCATCCCTAGTTGCCCTTGAGAAGGTGTTGGTGAGCTGCCTTCTTGAACTGCTGCAGACCTTCTGCTGTGGGTTGACCCATAATGCCATTGGGGAAAGAATTCCAGGATTTTGGCCCTGCGACAGTGAAGGAACGGTGATATATTTCCAAGTCAGGATGGTGAGTGACTTGGAGGGGAACTTGAAGATGGTGGTGTTCCCATATGTCTGCTGCCCTTGTCCTTCTAGATGGAAGTGGTTGTGGGTTTGGAAGGTGCTGTCTGAGGATCTTTGGTGAATTTCTGCAGTGCATCTTGTAGATAGTACACACTGCCGCTACTGAGCGTCGGTGGTGGAGGGAGTGGGTGCTTGTGGATGTAGTGCCAATCAATCAGGCTCCTTTGTCCTGGATGATGTCAAGCTTCTTGAGTGTTGTTGGGGCTGCACTCATCCAGGCAAGTGGGGAGTATTCCATCACACTCCTCACTTGTGCCTTGTAGGTTTGGTGGACAGGATTTGGGGAGTCAGGAGGTGAATTACTTGCCACAGTATTCCAAGTTTCTGGCCTGCTCTTGTAGCCAGTGTTTATGTGGTGAGTCCAGTTGAGTTTCTGGTCAATGGTAACCTCCAGGATGTTGATAGTGGAGGATTCAGTGATGGTAACCTCCAGGATGTTGATAGTGGAGGATTCAGTGATGGTAACACCATTGAATGTCAAGGGGCGGTGGTTAGATTGTCTCTTATTGGTGATGGTCATAGCCTGGCATTTGTGTGGCGCGAATGTCACTTGCCACGTGTCTGCCGAAGCCTGGATATTGTCCAGATCTTGTTGCATGTGAACACGGACTGCTTCAGTATCTGAGGAGTCACGAATGATGCTGAACACTGTACAATCATTGGCGAACATCCCCACTTCTGACCTTATGATGGAGGGAAGGTCATTGATGAAGCAGCTGAAGATGATTTGGCCTAGTACACTACCCTGAGGAACTCCTGCAGAGATGTCCTGGAGCTGAGATGATTGACCTTCAACAGCCACGACCATCTTCCTATGTGTCAGGTATGACTCCAACCACTGGAGCATTTGCCCCCTGAAACCCATTGATCCCAGTTTTGCTAGGGCTCCTTGATGCCACACTCGGTCGAATGCAGCCTTGATGTCAAGGGCTGTCACCTCACCTCACTTCTGGAATTCAGCTCTTTTGTCCATATTTGAACCAAGGCTATATTGAGGTCAGGAGCTGAGTGGCCCTGGCGGAACCCAAACTGGGCGTCACTGAGCAGGTTATTGCTGAGCAGGTGCTGCTTGATAGCACTGTTGATGACACCTTCCATCACTTTACTGATGACCGAGAGTAGACTGATGGGGCAGTAATTGGCCGGGTTTGTTCAAAGAATTGTGGGTGCACTGATTAGACAAGTGTTTATTACCCATCCGTAGTTGCCCTGGGGAAGCTGGTGGTGATCTTAAACTGCTGCAGTCCTTTGGGTATACAAGCACCCACAATGCTGTTAGGAAGAGTTCCAGGATTTTGATCCAGTGACAATGAAGGAGTGGAGATATAGTTCCAAGTTAGGATGGTGAGTGGCTGGGAGGAGAACTTACAAGTGGTGCTGTTCCCATGTATCTGCTGCCCTTGTCCTTCCAGGTGGAAGAGGTCATGAAGGTTTTGAAGGTCCTTTCTAAAGAGGCTGGATGAGTTACAGGAGTATATCTTGTAGATGGTACGAACTGCACTTTGAGCATTGCTAGTCAGGTAAGTGAATGTTCAAAGTGGTGAATGGGATGTGAGTCAAGCATCTGCTTTGTCGTGGATGATGACAAGCCTCTCGAATGTTAATTGGAGCTATACTCATCCAGGCAAATGGGAGTATTCTATCCATCCCTCCCTTGTAGATGGTGCATAGACCTTGTTACTTACTGCAGGATTCCCAGACTGTGATCTCATCTAGTAGCCACTGTATTTATATTGTGAGATAACAAGGTGTAGAGCTGGATGATCACAGCAGGCCAAGCAGCATCAGAGGAGCAGGAAAGTTGACGTTTCGGGTCTGGACCCTTCTTCAGAAAATCTATTTATATTGTGAGTCCAGTTTGGTTTCTGGTCCATGGTACCACCAGGATGTTGATGGTAGGTGATTCAGCAATGGTGTTCCGATTGAACATCAAGGGGAGATGGCTAAATTCCAACTCGTAGTAATTGCTTGGCACTTATGTGGCACAAATGTTATTTGCCACTTATCAGCACATGTCAGGTCTTGCTGCATGTGGACATGAACTGTTTCAGTATCTGAGCAGTCGCAAATGGTGCTGAACCCATACTATAAGATCACATCTGTATTAAATGTTTTTAAAATTCCATACATAGAATAAATTCTACATTATCCTCTGAATAATTCCAATGAAAATGCTTTTCCATCGTCCTCCACAGAATAAAAAGGCAACCTCAAAAGTGGTGTTCTCACCCAGCTCCTTGTGTCCCCCCCCAGTCATCAATTAATTCTGTTTAAGCACATTAATATACATAGGACTCAGGGGTAACCCCATAATAGCGTAATGGAAATCCTATAATAAGTTGCCCTAAGTAGACTCAACAATCCAGATGTTTGATAACATTTTAGGAAATTATGCTGATAAACCAGCCATAAATAGAAGTTGCTGGATTCAGCAGGTCTGGCAGCATCTGTGGAGAGAAGTCAGAGTTAACGTTTCAGGTCAGGTGACCCTTCTTCAGAACTGAACATCAAATGCTGCCAGACCCGCTGAGCTCTTCCAGCAATTTCTATTTTTGTCTCAGATTTACAGCATCGGCAGTTCTTTTGGTTTCTATTAACCAGCCAGCTTGGTTTTGCTTTTGGAACATGAATAGGCCAATCCATCTAACTCTATTCAGATAATTCCACAAGTCAGTGTCTTGACAGGTTGGATAGCCATTCACTGAGAAAGAGAGGAAAGCAGTGGTGTCTATTGGTAAGTCATCCAGTTTTAGATCAATAGTCTCCAGAAGTGTCCCTATCTGTCTTAGGGGCGTCTTTAGCCTTGGCTTGGTCAACCAATGACTAATGTCTGTGGGCTTAGGTCAGTGCACTGCGTCCTTCCCAAGCAAGAGGTTTTTTTTCTCCCAGAGAGTGGTGGAAATCTGGAACTCACTGCCTGAAAGGGTTGTCAGAAACTCTTGCAACATTTACAGTGTTTAGATATTCACTTGCACTGCCAATGCCTCCAGGGCTATGGGCCAAAAGCTAGGAAATGGGATTACGTGTGGTCTGATCACAAACACCATAGGCTCAGTGTCCTTCCTCTGAGCTGAAAAGGTCGAACTCACACAGGGGAATCAGAAACACTCCCTGTGCAGATTTCTCTTCAGCAACTGAAAACTCATAAGGCACTATGCAAGAGGAAAATAGTGCTGATGTTGAATATCTGAAATAAGATCACAAAATGTTGGAGACATTGACCAGGAGTGACAACGTGGAGATGGCAAAGGTCTCAGCAGCCATCTGGAGGTTGGGCAAAAGACCCACGCTGCCCACCAGAAACAAGCACCAGTCAGGCCATGGTGAGGGAACCAGCAGCACTTTGCCTGGAATGAAGACTCTGGCGGGGTGAGGGCAGGGTGAGATTCAAAAACCCTATGCCCCCTGGCATGAGCTGCTGGTCATTCAGAGGCTGCCAGCTCTTGCAGTCTACAGCACAGCACAGAGGGGGCAGTGGCTGCTCTTTTTTTTATCCTTTCTTCATTCATTAACGGGATGAGCATGTCACTGGCCAGGCAGCATTTATTACATATCCCTAATTGCCCAGAGTACAGTTAAGAGTCAACCACATTGCTGTGGGCCTGGAGTCAGACGTAGGCCAGACCAGGTAAGGATGGTAGTTTCCTTCCCTAAAGGCATTAGTGAACCAGATGGGTTTTTCTGACAATCGACAATGGATTCACAGTCATCATTAGATTCTTAATTCCAGGTATTTTATTGAACTCAAATTCCACCTTCTGCTGCAGTGGGATTCAAACCTGGGTCTCCAGAACATCACCTGGGTCTATGGATTCACAGTCTAACGATTGTACCACTAGGCCATCACCTCTTCAGGAGAGCGTGCCTGGATTTCCTGGATGGTGGAGGAGCCGAAACTGAAGGAGAACATTTCTGAAGGTGAGGGCATTCCCTGGTTGAGGTTTACAGGGAGATGGGAAATAATGGTCAGGATGTGACTCACAGTTTGATTGTATGTCCAGTCCCTCACAATCAGGCCTTTGATTGAGGGAGAAACATTCTCCTCCTCACTCCCAAGGTGACAAAATGCCTATACAGCTTGACCTGTCCGGCACACACCACATGACGATAC